GCTCCTCTGTCCCTCTGTGTCTCAAAGCCTGGAGTAGAAAATGATATGCTGCACAGAGGGGTTAGTAATGATGAAGCATGTTATGTAGATGAGCCCACTAGTCACATTTCTAACTCAAAACTTCCAGCTGCAAATCCCTTACCTGCACTCACCCCTCCCATGAGCCCCAGAGCTAGCCCAGAAGCAGAAGAGGCCTGTGGCAGTGTACCACAGGAGCCACACAACAGAGGCGCTGCCAAAAGTAAAGAAACGAGTGAGACTAACACACCCAGAGAGCCTCTGCCAGAGCTGGAGAAGGATGCTGCAATGGAGGAGAGTTATGGTGTGCCAGAAAAGCCTCCAGAGGAGCCAGAGCCCTGTGAGCCAGCACCAGCACCACAGCCTCTCCGCCCAGACAAACCCTACAGCTGCTCCCAGTGTGGAAAGGCATACGCCAGTCGTAGCGGACTTAAGGTAAGCATTGAAGATATTGAGGTGCCAAGTCAAAAGTCAATTATCTTGATATTGTGATATAATTATATTTGAATTATGACATATTTGGACTGCAGTCAATGGTAAATGCCTATTGTGTTGTGTCCATCATCAACAGGGACATATGAAAATTCACCCTGGAGTGTTGACCAACACCCCCTCCAAGGCCCAAACCAATGACATTGATGTTCTGGTGGATCGGAGCTCACATTCAACGAGTAAACTCCGGGGACAGCAGGACGAAAGACAGGGATTCACTAAATCCCCAGAGAAAGGTGACAGCACAGATCCTCCACCAATCAGTGCTGGTTCTGATGTGACGGCCAAACCTGTGGACACTACTGAGTAGGACGTTAGTACTGTTGAATGACTGCGGTCAGTTTTAAAGGGTCCTGACAAGGGAATGTATTTTCTAAATAGAATGAAATCTGTTTTTAGAGTTTTTAATTCTAATTCATGTTTACCTTTTTTTTAGGCAGATATAGCTAGGTTAAATTGTAGTATCATTACAAGAGACTTGTGAATGTAGTATTTTAGCTATGTATTTTTGTATTTCAAAGACCACAGTGAGGCCTTATCTTACACACTTCACGGCATTGTCATGAATTAACTGCTTTGTTGAATTCCTACTGTATGATATCAAACAACCAGTATAAGCTGATCTGATTAAGAGGAAGGTTCAGAATTTTACAGAATGAGTTCCATACCAAAATAGGCCAAATTAGCAACGGCCAATGTTAGTACATACGAGTTATGCCATTTTATTGTTACTATCTTCTTTCATTTTTTAATGTAATGCTGCTGAATGTATGTTTCTAATGTGCTGAGTTGCACTGTGAGTTGCACTGTCCTGTGCTGCTGAAACATCTACAGTACTGAAACAAACACATGCTAGCAATGCTAACAACCATGATAATAATAATAACACAGAATGTGAAGTTGTCATCACGCCCTGTTGAATTTTTCAGTCTCATCGACGAGATCTCTACGTTCACAAAAGTTAGCCAAGTCAGCTAAGGTTATCCATCCTGAATTACCACAGTCAGTAAAGTGAGATCTAAATGATTTAGGCAACTTTTTAGCCAAACAAAACCAGCATGTATGCAGGTAAATACAGTGCCCCTGTCCCAACATTCAACATGGCGTGACATACCTTCACATTCTCTATAATAATGGCAGTGATTGTCTTAGATCATCAGTACTTTTGTGAACACTCATATTTGTAGTTGTAAACTTTACCTTATCCATACTGATGATTTTTTTTTTTCATGTTGCTGATCTGTGAAATCAACAACAAAGATGGGCCCCGTCCTTTATCTAACCCCCACCCCAACTCTCCCCTCTCAAAGCACTTGAGAGTTTTCTGCTCCTGCAGAAATCTTC